GGCCCATGTCTCTGTCCCTAGGTGTGGCTGCTGCTGTTGCCAAAGTGCTGACAAAGCCTTTCCCTGCAGGGCTGGTGGAGCTGCTGCCTGCGTGGGTGGATCTGTCCTGTCACGCGTGGCACCACTGAGCTCCTGTGACACCCACTGCTGCCCTGCCAAGGGGTTTTGGCAGTTCCAGACGTGCAGCTGCAGCTCCTGCCTTGTACCCTGCAGGTGGAAGGAGTGGGAAAGCAGAGGGTGGAGGGAACAACGGGCTGGGGCAGAGGGATGGAGAAGGGAGCTGCTGCCTGCGTGGGTGGATCTGTCCTGTCACGCGTGGCACCACTGAGCTCCTGTGACACCCACTGCTGCCCTGCCAAGGGGTTTTGGCAGTTCCAGACGTGCAGCTGCAGCTCCTGCCTTGTACCCTGCAGGTGGAAGGAGTGGGAAAGCAGAGGGTGGAGGGAACAACGGGCTGGGGCAGAGGGATGGAGAAGGTGCCACAAGAAGGGAGCCTCTGGGAGGCCTTCATCCCCAGCAGTGTCCTGGGCTGGAGAACAATGTGCAGAAGGGGCAGGAGGATCAGACCCTGCATTGTGGTGGCCAATTGGAGGCCTCAGGGTTTCTGTGTGGCAGCACACAAGGTCCTGGTGGTGGGGCCAGGTCCTACCTGCTCCTCAGCAGGAGAATTCCTGCTCTTGCCTGGCAGCAAGGAGAAGCTGCCCACCCTCAGGACCTCCAGGCACCTGGTGGCTTCTGGCCAGCTGCTGGACAATGTGACACCCATGGCCTGTGGGGGTGGGTGCCAAGGGTTCCTGGCCCTGCCCTGTGAGGACAATGTGACCATGGGGTCTCGCAGACCTTGGAAAGCCTTGCAGGTTCCTGCTGGCTTGATGTGCCTTCCTCCTCGTGGTGCCAGCACTGGTGGAACCCTGCTGTGCATGTCTGTGTCATGTGCTCTGGAGCTGGGGAAGCTTTGGGGCAGTTCTGTGGCCACAAGCAGGATGCTGGAGCTTCCCAGAGCTGTTCCCTTCCTTCATTCCTTCCACCAGCTGTGCTTTGGTGCAGCAGCTGCCTCTGGAGGTGCAGGGTTTGACATTTCCAGCCCTAGTGAGCTGGGAATGGAAGGGTCAGAAGTGACAGATTTGGATGATGCCTAAGCAGCTGCAGCTGGGGTGGCTGTCAGGGTGTAGGGGTGGGAAGAAGTGGAATGATGTCTGCTGTGAGTGGTGGCCTCCTGCTGTGCTCCACAGCCTGTGTGGGAGCAGGGAAGGGACATGAGGTGGCACTTGGCCTGGTGTCACAGGGGGACATGGTGGGAAGAGGGGAGGCCAAGTGGATGGAGCCCTGCAGAAGTTAAACTACTGCATGTTGGAGCCTGTCCTTTCCCCCCTGTGCTGGGCAGTGGGGAGGGGGCACCTGGAATGCTGGGCTCAGGTCTGGGCCCCTCAGGACAAGGAGGACATGGAGGGGCTGGAGCGTGTCCAGAGAAGGGCAAGGGAGCTGGGGAAGGGGCTGGAGCACAAGTGTGAGCAGGAGCAGCTGAGGGAGCTGGGGGTGTCCAGCCTGGAGCAAAGGAGGCTGAGGGGAGACCTGCTGGCTCTGCAGCTGCTGAGAGGAGGTTGGAGCCAGGGGGGTCGGGCTCTGCTCCCCAGGAACAAGGGATGGGACAAGAGGAACCGGCCTCAAGTTGTGCCAAGGGAGGCTGAGGTTGGATCTGGGGAACAATTCCTGCCTGCCAAGGGTTGTCAGGGCCTGGCCCAGGCTGCCCAGGGCAGGGGGGGAGTCCCCATCCCTGGAGGGGTTTCCAAGCCCTGGAGATGGTGCTGAGGGACATGGGGCAGTGGTGGCCTTGGCAGGGCTGGGGGAATGGGTGGACTGGAGGATCTCAAAGCTCTTTTCCAACCCAAACAATTCCATGATTATTTGTGCAGTTGGAACCCAGAGGCTCCTCCAGGCTTAGCCATGGTGAGATGCTCACCAGGCTGGTGCCTCCTGTTATTGCAATGGCCACAGAAGCATAACCCTGGTCTTTCTGGGTTGGGAAGAGCTTTCTGTGGCCCTGGCAGAGCAGCATCCTGTGTCCTGCCTCCTGCTCTGCACTGCCTGCCTGTTCAATCTTGGCCATTCCACCAGTGCCATGTGGAGCACATTTTGGGCACCAGGGAGTTAACTCAGGGTTTCTGAGTTGCCTCTGGGCAGATCACTTGTTGCTGCCAAGGGTCTTTGTTTTCATATATAGATTGGAGGAAAAAAATTAATAATTAAAAAAGCATTGATCATTTTTTGTGATTCAAACCAGCCCCTCTGTGATTTGTATTGATTAAATGAACACCTTGGCTAAGGTTTTGATGGAAACCAGTGCCTTGGTGAGACTGATGTTGGTAACGAGCTTCATTGCTGAACAGAATTAATTCCCTGCCTGATCAGCACGAGGTGTGTGCTTCATGCAAGGAGCTCTGCTCGTGTTCTGCTGAGAAGGTTTTTCTGCTCTGAACGTGGGCATTTGAGGTCAGCCTGGACTAGGGGACATGGAGGGCTCCTTGGAGATAGGAAAAAACAGCTGCTGTAGCAGGGCTGCTGTTTTCATAGAATAATACTGTCACAGACTGGTTTGGGTGGAAAGGGACCTTGAAGTCCATCCAATCCCACCCCTTTGCATGGGCAGGGACACCTCCCAGCAGCCCAGGCTGCTCCAAGCCCCATCCAACCTGCCTTTCAACACTGCCAGGGATGGGGCAGCCACAGCTTCCCTGGGCAACCTGGGCCAGGCTCTCCCCACCCTCAGAGTGAAGAATTTCTTCCCAATCTCTAACCTAACTGTCCCCTCTTCCAGTTTTCAGCCATTCCCCCTGGTCTTCTTGCTCCATGCCCTTGTAAAAAGTATTTTAATGGGATGGCAGCACAGATTCCTAGGATGTGAAGCACACAGGGGTGATGCTGGTGGTGAGAGGATGGACAGGGGACAGGGTGGGCAGGAGGAGGTGTGTGCTCAGGATGTCCTCTGCAGCAGCTGTGTGTCTCCTGGTGGCTCTGGGTGAGCACAGATGGGGTCCCTGTCTAGCACAAGGGCTTCCAGCTGGTGGGCACATCTGTCAGGAAGCATTTTCTGGTGGGTGCCATGGGCTGTGTCTGGAGGCAGCCCTTGTCCTGCAGGGTGTCCCTCAGCCTGAGCAGGCATCTTGCCTACCCAGATGGAAGCAGGAGCAGTTTGTACCCTCCTCTGCCTCTGCTCAGGGGTCTTGCTGAAGCTGCTGCTCGTGGCTTGGACGTGCATGTGCTTTGGATGGCCAGGTCCAAAGAGTTGTGTTCAGTGGAGTTAAATCTATCACCAGTGGTGTCCCCGGGGCTCAGTGCTGGGGCTGCTCCTCTTTAACATCTTCACTGATGTCTTGGATGCAGGGATAGAGTAAGTTTGCAGATGACATTAAGCTGGGTGGGAGTGTTGGTCTGCTTGAGGGCAGGGAAGCTCTTCAGAGGGACCTGGACAGGCTGGATCAATGGGCCAAGGCCAATGGGATGAGGTTCAATGAGGCCAAATGTTGGGTCCTGCACTTTGGCTGCAGCAACCCCTGGCAGTGCTACAGGCTTGGGCAGGAGTGGCTGGAGAGCTGCCCAGCTGAGGGACCTGGGGGTGTTCATGGACAGGGGGCTGAACATGAGCCAGCAATGTGCCCAGGTGGTCAAGAAGGCCAATGGCCTCCTGGCCTGCATCAGGAATAGTGTGACCAGCAGGAGCAGGGAGGTGATGGTCCCTCTGTTCAGCCTTGGTGGGGCTGCACCTTGAGCACTGGGTGCAGTTGAGGGCACCATCATGTAGGAAGGATATTGAGGTGCTGGAGAGGGTGCAGAGAAGGGCAACGAGGCTGGTGAGGGGTCTGGATAATAGATCTTATGAGGAGAGTCTGAGGGAGCTGGGGCTGTTCAGCCTGGAGAAGAGGAGGCTGAGGGGAGACCTCATTGCTCTGTACAGCTCCCTGAGAGGAGGTTGTGGTGAGGTGGGTGTTGGGCTCCTCTCCCTGGTCACCAGTGATGGGGCAAGAGGAGAAGGGGTCAAGCTGCTCCAGGGGAGGTTCAGATTGGATATTAGGAAAAATTTCTTCCCAGAAAGAGTGGTGAGGCCTTGGAACAGGCTGCCCAGGGAGGTGGTGGAGTCACCATCCCTGGAGGTGTTCAGAAAAGGGTAGATGTGGTGCTGAGGGAGCTGGTTCAGTGGTTGGGGGTTATAGTGTGGGTGGTTGGACCTGATGATCTGGAAGGGCCCTTCCAACCTTGGTGATGCTATGATTCTTTTCCAGGGTAAATTCACACTCCTACTGGACACCAGAACAGATGGCAGCTTCCTGGTGCACCATTTCCTCTCCTTCTACCTCCGAGGTGGGTCTGCAGCAGGACTCTGCAAGGACTCTGCCCTCTGGGAGGCTCTTCCAGCATGAGGTGCTGCTGCGTGAGCAGAGCCTGGTTTTGCAGAGCATGAGCCACCCTTGGATTAGCACAAAGCTCTCTGGGCAGGATTTATGGATCCCAGTCCTGACTTGTTTCTGGGACCAGCTCAGCCCCCCTGGGTACATCCTGTCATGACTCTGCACCTGGTTTCATCAGCAGTGAACACAGTCACACAGGCACCAGGCACTGAGGTGTTGGCTGCAGTTTCTTCACTAGTTGTGTGTTCTGTAACGTAATTAAAAATAGCAGTGCCAGCCAACAAATAGATAAGCTGGTGGTGAGTAAAGATACAAAGAGCCTGGTGAGCTGCTTAATTGCTTTTCTGCTCACAGCTTCATTGGTGAGGAGCCTGCCAGGCCCTGTGGGGCAGGCACTGGCCTCGTGGCCTCCTCCAGCTTCCAGATTTGGTCAGGATGTACCTCTTGGGCTTGAATCTTAGCTCTTGTGCAGGTGTGGGCCTGAGGGCCTCCTGCCCCCTTAGCCACCCCTTCCCCCAGCTGTGGCTTCACTCTACTTAAAAAAAATGTTTTAACTTACTGGAACTAAGTGAAACTGCAGGAAAGCCTGTTATGGGATTACTGGGATTATTGATGGATCTCCAGGCAGGTGTTCCTGCTGTCACCTTCTGTCACCTGGATGCCAGTTCCTGTGTCTGTAGCACCCTCACATTTTCCAAGTACCCACTTGGTGCTCAAAACCTTTGGAAGCTCCTGAGGGGTCAGTGAAGCCTCAACAGGGGCCACTTGAAATCCATGTCCTGGAGAAACAAATACAACTTGTGCTCATGCCCACACCATGAGACCAGGTTGTCACATGCCAGGTTTTCCAAAATCATATTTTAATGAGGTGTTTTTTTGTCCAATGTCCTTGTTCTGTGTGTTTTTTCAGTCAAGGCCACTTGCCCTGCAAGAGCCAGAGCAGGGATTTTGGGCCCATCCGTGGCAGGCTCAGCCATTGCCCTCCTTGCAGCAAACAGGAGAGCCCAGGACAGGATGGCACAAGACAGAAAGTGGGCCTCCTACTGTATTTTTATGTAATCTTTTTCTTTTTAAGCTGACTAACATTTTCCCTCATGGGAAATTCCTGTAGAAAGGTGAAAATTGAAAGCCCAGCCACGAGCAAGTGAGGGGCTGCCTCGACCTGTCTCACTTCAAGGCCTTTCTGGGTGGATTTGCAGCCTGGCTGCTGTGACTTATGGGCTGGGATGGTGCAGAATTTGAAATGACAACATGTATTTTTGTCTTTCTCCCCCAGCTGGCTGCAAGGTTTGCTTCGTGGCCCTGCTCCAGTCCTTCAGCCACTACAACATCGTGGCACAGAAGCTGGTAGGTCCTGGTGTAGGTTAATGATTACAGGTCCAGGTAGTTTCTGTTGGGTGGAAAGGAATGAGAACAGGGACTTGCATGTGAGCAAATGTCTCCAGATCTTGATGGGGCCAGTCAGGATTGGTGGTCCTGTGGCAGGGGATGGAAGCTGGAGAAAGGGATGTGAAACAGGGCAAGAACTTGGCTGTGAGGCTGCCTGTGAGGGCCTCACCCTGCTCTGCCCTGGAGAGCTGAGCAGCTGCTGGCTTCCTTTGTGCTCAAAAATGTTTTCTGGAGATCAGCATTCCCCAGGCAGGCCCAGGCTGGTAGATGTAGCTTTATTAGTGCTCTGTGGAGAAAAGTGCTGTGGTGTCAGTGTCCCTGTGGGCTCTGTGTACACCTGCAGGGTGCAGTGGCTGGATGGCACAGGAGGTGACATTGTCCTATTGTTGTGATGAAGTGCTTTGGGCTGAACCATCTGTAGTTTCAGAAGGACACTGCTTCCTTTGGCCCCTGGGCCAAGCCATCAGTTTGAGCCATCTGAGGAGCCTCAAGTGCTGCCTACATTCTCATGGATCTCCTTCCTGTGGTGAGTCAGGGAAGGATTCTGTGTACCCTGAAACCAGGAGATGGAGAAACAAAGAGACAGAGTCATGCCCAGTGTCAGCAAGTCAGGCTGAGCTCTGGCTTTACACTCCTGGCTTGTTGTACAATGCTCAGACATGAAATGCTCCAGTTGGGAGATCCAGGTGACCTCCCAGGGCTTGCCTTGGTCCTCCCTTCCTTGGTTCTGCTGGAAGTCCCTGCAGTGCTGCTGCACTGAAGACTTTCAGGTGCTGAAGAACCAGGCATTGCAATCACAGTGTGTTCCCCACTCTAAATGTGGGCTGAGTTTTGTACAGTAGAGTTGGAAGGGACCTCTGGAGATCATCTAGTCCAGCCCTGTGCTAGAGCAGGATCCCCTACAGCAGATCCCACAGGAACGTGTCCAGGTGGGTTTGGAATGTCTCCAGAGGAGGACACTCCACAGCCCCTCTGGGCAGCCTGTTTTGGTGCTTGCTGAACAGCTATTTTATTTACTACTCAGTTTTTACCTTTTAAAAGGAGATCAGGGGTCTGAGAGCTCAGCCCTAAGTTAAACAAAACAGGCTGAGCAAAAGAAGCATCTCAGTGTGGAGCTTCACCTCACAGGCAGGTGCTCAATATGGGTTTTCCCTGCAGAGAGGATGGATTTTTCCTGCAAAGATTCCCTCTGAGCAAACCAACCTCTGCCAGCACCAGATCTTTCTGACCTTCATGTTGCAGAGAGGAAGAAATCCTGGGTGGGGGGGAGGACACACACTTGCTGAGTGGGACAGGAAAAGGGGCACAGCAACCAGAGGGTCACCTGGTAACTCTGGGATTTTTGCCTGCTCTAAAAGCAGAATTTGTTGGTGTGTTTCCCAGTGTGGTGAAATCCCCTGTGTGCTTTTAATAGGTGCTGTTGTCATCTCCCTGTGGGAGAGGCTGAGCAGGGAGAGGGTGCAGGGATCAGCTGGAGCACAAGTGTGATGCAAATCCAACCCGTTTGCTGCCTGGTGTTTCAACAAAAAGGTTCCTGGCACGAAGGGTGGAGGTCAGAAGAACAATAGCTTGGAAGAGATAAGAAGAACAATAGCTTGGAAGAGATAAGAAGAACAATAGCTTGCCCAAGGGGGGCTGAGGGAGGTGGCTCCATGGCAGCTGTCCCTGTCCCTGTGTCAAGTTTGAGTCAGTCAGACCAGAACTTCACAGGTTCCCTGGGTGGTTGGTTGCTGTGAATTCTTCTGAAGCTCTGAGGAGCTGGAGGTTTAACATCAGTTATTTCTGTCTGTCCCGAGTAAGATTCTGTCTGTGCTTTGGTCCTTCTTTGCCTGAATGAGGCTCTGGGAAGGTGGGTGTTAGCAGAGTAGTCCCACTCTTGGACTTGCTGGGGAGTTTGCTGCTGATCTGGAGACCAGCTGGGACATCACTCACGTGGCTGCAGCAAACCCTGACCTTGGGCAGCAGCCTGAGCTGGGTCCTGCTGCAGTGGGCTGAGCTGTGGGCTCCACCAAACCACCAGCTGCTCCTTCCCCATCTCTTCTTCCTCAGAGTTGAGCTCCAGACCAGCTGCCTGGCTCTGTGCTGGCCAGGAGAGTTGCAGGCAAACAGGCTGATGCTCCAGGGAAAAAATGGGAAGACCCTGGCCCATGGGTGGCCACCTGCCTTATGTTGTCCCATCCACAGGTTAAAACTCCATGGACAATCATTCCCAGCAGAAGATGATGCACTTGGGAAGGACTGCAGTTAGAGCTTCAGAACTGAGTGATGCTCCAGTTCCTGCTGGGAATGGGGTGGTCCTAGAGCCAGGGTTGTATTACACATGTAATATATCTCAGTAATATTTTGTGGATCTGATCCTTGTAGCACCTGCTGTGAGGTGATAACACTGAATCTTTACACATTTGAAGCTCTCCTTACCTTACATCCTGCTTCCCCACAGTATTTCCAGTTCCTCCCAGTCCAGAACCAGTTCCTGAAGTGTTGGCTAAAGGCAGTGATGCATTTTTGCTCACAGGGAACAGCTTCCCAGGGTTTCTGCAATACTGGCTCCACTCTTGGCCTTTTCTGCAAATCCTGCCCTTTCCATGAGGATCTGCACTGAATTTTAAGGACAGTTGATGTTCTTTGTCCTGACCTTGTGGAGAACGTGCTGGGCCATAGCAAGGCCAATGGCACCAGGGCAGCTGGCCAGGCTGGCTGGTGTCCCCCCCCTCAGCTCTACAATGTTTGCTTAGTTTTAAAGGAAAAAAAAAATAAATCTGTCCCCATTTGCTCTCCCTCTTGCCTGCTCCCCTGCTGAGGTCACAGACCAGAGGACATCCCCTGGTCACCTCTGTTGTGCTGGAGAAGTGACCTTGGCCAGGTGCTGGATCCCCAGTGGTCACACTTTGTGCTGCAGCTGCTTTTGCTCCGGGGTGGCTGCTGCCTCAGCCCCCATTCCTGACCTCCTGCCAACAGCTTTCCCTCAGGGAATGGCAGGTGACAAATGGCAGGTTTGGTTTGAAGGGACATCAGCTGGTGGGCCACCATGCTGCACAACTGGCAGCATCCTGGATGCAGGAGAACATCTGTGCTCCCTTGGCAGCTCCAGTGGTGTCCAGCTGCTGTTTCAGGAATGTTTCTGGGCTTGATGGATCTGGGCTTGATGGATACCACCTCGAATAGCCAAATCCCTCCACCTGCTGCCCACACCAGCCTCTGCTGGGCTTGGGGCTGGTGGGAGGGATGGCAGGGGGACCAAAGGGCTCTGTAAGAGTCTCATGCATGGGAATTACTCCTCCTGGCTTTCCTGGGAGAAGGGGAAAAGGGAGCAGACAATGGGGATTAGATGAGGCAAGAGCTGCAACACTTGTTGATTAGTGCTGTTGATGGAGAGGATGCTTGAAAACAAAAGGGATGGGTCCAAAGGTGCTGGTGCCTTGCCTGAGGCTCTCCATCCCAGAGTTCCCATGGCAGGTGGGACCAATTCCTTCCAGAAGCATGTGTGGAAGACCAGGGAAAAGAAGGGCAAGCTCAGGGCTGATTTAAAGCAGGACCTGAGGGGGGCACGTGCCTTCATCCCAGCCCTGGCTTGTTCAGGGATCCCTGGCCATGATGGAAGATGTTTCCTCCAACCTGTTGTTTTCCAGCTGCTATAGACAATGTTTTCTGGCAGCAGCCCTGAGGAGTGGATCTCTCCCTCCCATTCCAGCTGGGAGAAAAAGCACTGGAAATCCTGTCTTTCAGTAGCACAGAAGAGTGGCACCTGGTGAGCCTTTCAGGCTTCATCTTCCTGGAAGGGACTTTTTCCTTATCTACTTGGACCTTCCCTCTGGAGGTCCTTGTGTGGAAATGCCCAGCTCCCAGAGCCCCTGGGCCCTTGTGGGGATTGTCTCATTGACCTAGTGCTTCAGATGTGGCTTTAGAATATTTTACTTAAGGAAAACGGGGTGTGAATTGTTGGCACTTGCATTTTGATGGCAGAGTAACTGGAAGGTAAAGCAGGTAAAGTACAGGGATAGAAAGCAGGAGGCAGAAACAGAGTGACAGAGTGGTGGGGGTTGAAAGGGACCTCTGGAGATCATCCAGTCCAACCCCCTGCTAGGGCTGAATCACCCACAGCAGATCCCACAGGAACACATGCAGATGGGATAGAAATGTCTCCAGAGAAGGAGAGATGGCTTTGCTGCAGTTCTGTCTCCTGTGAGCAAAGCAAGTGTGGTGGCTCTTGGGGGTGTCCTGAGGGCCAGGGAATGCCTGGAGAACCTCCAAGGCCTTTTCAAGCAGAGGTGTTGGGCCAGTGCCAAGCACAGTGCTCTGTTCAGTCCTCCAGGTCCCAGGGGAAGAGCTGCTACCAGCCTTCCCCTTGCTGGGGGACTCAAACACTCTGCTCCCGTGTCCTGCAGCTCCCGACACGATTGCTCAGGAAATCAGCAAAAATCTGTCTTTTCTGAGAAGCTTAAAACATGCCCAGTCAAAACCACCAGTGCTGCTGGGGTTTCTGCTCCAGCATTCAGGCAGCCAGTCCTGGCTCTGGCTCCTGCCTGTGGGTCTCACCTCTATTCCTGACCAGTCCTGCTCAGCCCCCCTCTCTGCAGGCTGCATCCCCAAAGGATGCCTTCTCCCAGGGGATATGGGAACTGCTTTCTTAGGATCCTTGTTTCTGGTTCCTGGCTCACCAGTTCTGCCAGTCTTGGGTGGAGCTAAACCTTCCTGAACTCCTTGCAAACCATTTATCTCTCCATCTTGCCCACCTACCTTGTGTTGCACAACAGTCCTACTTCAGGGTGCCCAGACGCTGCGAAGCTCGGGGTTAATGCTCCTGGGTTCCATTTGGAGACATCATAGTCCTGTTGGGAAGTGTGGGAAGTACTCCACACTGGAGAGCCCAGCAAATATGCACTTCTTTAGGGTTTGGAGCAGCCTGGTCTGTTGGGAGGTGTCCCTGCTCATGGCAGGGAGATTGGAACATGATGGTCTTGAAGGTCCCTTCCAACCTTCACCATTCCATGGTTCTGTGATCCCCTGTGCAAGGCTCACTGAGGCACTGACTTTCTTAGCACATCTAGAAAAGACTTGGTACAAATCAGCTGTGGATCCCCTGGGTTCTGTGTGCACCCTTCCTCCAAGGCTGCTCACTCCAGAACATGTTTCCCTCTCTCCCTCAGGGAGTCAGTCTGACAGCTGCCAAGGAACGGGGACAGCTTGTCTTCTTGGAAGGCCTCAAGTCCTGCCTTGACCTCTTGTTCACAGAGGAGGAGCAGCCAGGACAGCCCCATCCTCTCCAGTTTATGAGGTGAGCCTGAGTGGTTGGTGGTTCTGCTGGGGCTCAGCATGGACTGGTTTCCCCCTCATGGTCCATGCCTGAGACCTGGCTCCCTTTGGGCTTCCCCCTTAGGCCCCAAGGGCTCTGTAGCTGGACAGCAAGTGAAGGGAGCTGCCAGCACCATGCATGCTGCTGTGATTGTCCTGCTCTGTCACTCTCTGCTGCTCACAGAGGGATCTGTGCAGGGCTCACTGAGGCACTGACTTTCTTAGCACATCTAGAAAAGACTTGGTACAAATCAGCTGTGGATCCCCTGGGTTCTGTGTGCACCCTTCCTCCAAGGCTGCTCACTCCAGAACATGTTTCCCTCTCTCCCTCAGGGAGTCAGTCTGACAGCTGCCAAGGAACGGGGACAGCTTGTCTTCTTGGAAGGCCTCAAGTCCTGCCTTGACCTCTTGTTCACAGAGGAGGAGCAGCCAGGACAGCCCCATCCTCTCCAGTTTATGAGGTGAGCCTGAGTGGTTGGTGGTTCTGCTGGGGCTCAGCATGGACTGGTTTCCCCCTCATGGTCCATGCCTGAGACCTGGCTCCCTTTGGGCTTCCCCCTTAGGCCCCAAGGGCTCTGTAGCTGGACAGCAAGTGAAGGGAGCTGCCAGCACCATGCATGCTGCTGTGATTGTCCTGCTCTGTCACTCTCTGCTGCTCACAGAGGGATTCTGTTACCCTTCTCCAGCATTTTGGGGCAATTTCTACCTCCATCTCCATTGCCAAGCACATTGTAGGTCTAGAGACGATTGATTTCAGCCCTCAACAGGTTTGTGTCAAATAAAACTCCATCTAAGTAGTTTTATTCATTTAAAAAAACAACTATTTTGAGTTTTATTCTCATCCAAGAGAACCATGATGGATTTACTTTTTATGCCCACTTTACTTTTTCCATGTCCCTAATGATTTGATAGGAAAATAATAAAAATCCCTCTGCAGGACTGGGTTCAGCTCTGGAGTCCCCAACACAAGAAGGTCATGGAGCTCCTGGAGAGAATCCAGAGGAGGCCCCGGAGATGCTGGGAGGGCTGGAGCAGCTCTGGAGCCAGGCTGGGAGAGTTGGGGTGTTGAGCCTGGAGAAGAGAAGGCTCTAGGGAGACCTGAGAGCAGCTTCCAGTGCCTGAAGGGGCTCCAGGAAAGCTGGGGAGGGGCTTGGGACAAGGGAGCAGAGGAGCTCTGGCTGTAGGGAAGTGCAGGACAGTGACTGTCCCAGCCTTGGGGACAGCAGGGATGGCACAGGCTGGCTCTCCCCACCCTGGGTCAGTGGGTGAGGGGGGTGGGACACACAACACTGTGTGTGGGCCAAGCCCCTTGAGATCTCCCCCTTCTTCTCTTCCAGTGACAGCTCCTCCAACCTCAGAGCCCTGTTTGACTTTGTCCGGGCGTCCCTGGCTCCCTCTGGCAGCAGCTCCTGGCAGGGCCCTGTGCTGCTGGTGGATGATCTGAGTGTCCTGCTCAGCCTGGGTGCTGCTCCTGTGGCCGTGCTGGACTTCATCCACTACTGCAGGGTGGTGGTGTGCTCCCAGCTGAAGGTACTGCTCCCTCTGGGAATGCCACGGGCACAAAGGAGTCTCTGCAGCATAGCCTGGCTTCCTTTTCTCTTCCACCTCGGTGTGATGAGGATTTGCCAGGCCTTGGCTGTCCAAGAGTTTCAAATCATTGCTCTAGAGCCACTCTTGGGGGGTTGTGTTACTCCCTGGAGGACCTTTGCAACTGGTTTCCCAGGAGGTGCTGCCCAGAGGCCTCTCTCTGTCCCTGATGAGTGAGTAGGGATTTGAGGTCTAAAATATTCTTAAAGCTCCTGGCTCTCCAGAGCTCTCTACTTGCATCCATATTTTTGTGTGGGTGGGAGGGCAGGGAAGGAAATGGGGAATGAAGGTGGTGAGGGGCTGCTCCACATAGCACTTGTAAAGATCCCCCAGCTGTGTGCTGATGTCCCAGGGCACTGCAGCCAAAAAATCATCCCAGTCACATCTAGCCTTTCCTGCTTCCAGGGCAGCATCCCCCACCCAGGCCACTTCCCTCTCAGCAGGTTTTGTTACCCTGCACAGGGTGTTTGTGCTGGAAGTGCTGCCAGGGGCTGTTCTGCTTGCTGAGAATCTTTACCTCCAAAACAGCTAAACAAGATGATAAATCCTATTAACACATTTCTATTTCTGTCTAAGGTGTTCCCAAAGCTTTACATTTTAATTGATTGGGAATTTCATGCGATTTGAAGTCCTTGGTGACCTGCACAGGCTGAGGCTCCTGGGCTGTGCTTTGTGCTGGGATGTGTCAGGGAGCTCTTGGCTTCCTGTGGGAGCTGTGAGGGTGGGAGAGTGGCAGCTCTGGCTGCAGCTCTTCAGCCACTTCTTTCTTTAGCTACTGGGAGTTCCTGCAGAGCTGCCATGGGCATGGCCTGACAGACTGGTTTAACCAGCCAGCTGTCTTCTCACAAAGGCCTGATGTATTTTTAGGCTGCATGTTACCTGTCTGTGTGTGTATATACACACAGAACATGCACAGAGCTGGTGGGGATTTCTGTGTGTGTCTGCTGTTTGTTTTGCCCAGGGAAGCTGCCCCATCCCTAGAGGTGTTCAGGGGCAGGTTGGATGGGGCTTGGAGCAGCCTGGAATGGTGGGAGGTGTCCTGGCTCATAGCTGGGAGGTTGGAACTAGATGATCTTTAAGGTCCCTTCCAACCTTCACCATTCCATGATTTTCCCAGCTCAGGACCAGCTGCCATGCTGGGGGATGCCTGAGTAGCTGAGTTAGCCAGGTTTTTGTGCCAGCTCCTGTGGCTGTCTCCCCTTCCCTGCCCTGAGAGGATTAGGAATCAGGGGCTCACCTGCTGCTCTCGTCCCAGGGGAACATCGTGGTGCTGGTTCACAGCAATGAGGGTTCAGAAGACGAGGAGAACAAGCTGGTTGTGAACTCCCTGTGTCATCACAGTGACCTGATCCTGTGGGTCGAGGGGCTGGCCACTGGTTTCTGCAAGGATGTTCATGGGCAGGTAAGGCACAGGACAGCATGGAGAGGTGGCACCTGTTAATGTCACAGACAAAACTGCCTGTAGGCCAGGGGGGAGACACGTGCTCCATCTGTCCCTGTGAGGTGGCTCAGGACTGATCTGCAGCCTGGCTGAGGACTAACAAGCAGGCTTGCTGTTGTCACCAGGACCTTCAGGAGCCTTAGGCTCTTATGGCTGTGACTCTGCTTCTGTGGGGACATTCAGGGACATCTTGTCACCCCATTCCCCATTCCATTCCTGGAAGCTGGAGGAGGTTTATACAGCAGTGCAGGTTGTCCCCTGCCCCAGGGTGATGGCAGAGGAATATCTAGTTAGAATCACAGGCTGGTTTGGGTTGGAAGGGACCGTAGAGATTGTACAGTCCCACCCCCTGCCATGGGCAGGGACACCTCCCACCAGCCCAGGCTGCTCCAAACCCCATCCAACCCCCCCTTCAACACCCCCAGGGATGGGGCAGCCACAGCTTCTCTGGGCAGCCTGGGCCAGAGTCTCCCCACCCTTCTAGTGAAGAATTTCTCAATCTCCCCTCTTCCAGCCTGAAACCATTCCCCCTCAGACTATCCCTACAAGTTCCTGAGAAGCTTCCCCAAAATGTCCCATTGGTGGATCCCAGCCTGGCTTGGGGTGATCTCTGGGCTGGGGGAGCAGCTGGGTCACCAGGGCCTGGTGCTGCCTGGTCTCTTGCACCAAGGGGCTGGTTCCTTCCCTGCAGGCCAGCAAGGGATGAGGAGGGAGGGTGCTGTGACGTGATCCTCCCAAAGGGAAGATATTCCTGTTCCTTTCCCTTTGCAGATTAAAATAATCAGGAGATTGTCCTTGGAGCTGAAGGCAGAGCAGGATCAAGTCCAGATCTACCAGTATAAGATCCAGGACAGGAATGTCACCTTTTTTGCTCCGGGGCTGTCGACTGCTGTCCTGTGACCCTGTGACCCTGGGACACCATGACACTGCTGGCTGCTTCAGCAGCACAGCCAACCCAGCCAGGAGGGAAGCTTCAACTCGTGTGGAGCTGCCTGCCAAGGAGGGGATTAGCCCATCCAGAGCTTGCTTTGTCCTCCCACCCCATTCCCAACGTACCCAGGCCAAGAGGAAGAGCAAAAACTTGCCCGAATGGCCCTTGGAGCGTGTAACTACAAGCAGGGGCTCCCCAGGGCCAGGTGTGCCCCACCTTCCAGCACGCAGGGCAGAGCCAGGCAGGAGGGATCACCCCACCCTCCTGCTGGCACTCCCCGAGGAGATGGAGCAGGTGGAGCCAGGGCTGGTCCTGGTGCAAACCCTGCCCTCCTGGCAGCCCGGCACTGAAGAGATTTGCTCAACTCCTGAGTCGCATCGAATGGAAATAAATGTGTCTGCCCCTCCCCTGCCTGGGGTAAGGCCTGGCTTGGTTGATCCCTTGCTTTGGTTTGGTTTTTTTCCCCTTTTCGTGGGAAGCCCCTGTGTCTGTTCAGTGTGTGACTTCCCAGGCTCATCCTTGGCCTTGAGGGATGGACACACAAGCCTCTGTCCCAGGCACTGCTCCTGTTGGCAGATCATCACCAGCACTTACTGGAGCATTCCTGGGGGCCAATAATCCCTCTAATCCCATCTAATGTTAATTAATGTGGGTACAGTGAGGAAGTAGCTATGGAGCTGTATACAGGAAAAGCTCCCCATAGGCTGGGCCCAGAAATGAGGCTGGGTGAGGAGGTGGGTTTGGGTTCCTCTCACACCACACGGACACGAGGATGGTCCTGGGAGCAGAGTGCAGACCTGGAGGTCTCCTGGTAGGTGCTTTGGCTGCAGTGGGAGATAAAGAACACCCCACATGCTTGTGAGAGACCAGAGCAACCTGCCAGGATCTGTGCAGCTCCAGAGCCAGCGTTATGATGCCAGCAGTGGGATGTGTTCCTGCTTTTTCTGTGGGGAAACACTGTGTGTTGGGAATGATCCCTTTTGGTTTGAGTCTGGGGAGCCCTGGCACACTTGGGGGGCTGTGGCTGCTTATCACTAGCAGCCCAGGGAGACTGGGCAGGCTCGGGATTAATCTGGGTGCTGAGGGAATCTGGAGGGGGAACAAGGCCCCAGGAGTGCTTTGGGATCACTCGACCCCACTATGGACAGAACCCACGGGTCTCTGTGCTGCCAAGGACCACACTGTCTCTCCAGCCTCCTTGCTTCTCATTTTCCCAACTTCCAGGCTTGGGTTGAGCCAGCTGGGCTTCACCCAGACCTCTGTGGAGGCAGAGCTGGGACATCACCATGGTTGGGGGTCCCGAGTGCCCCCAAGCTGTGCATGGAGCCTGGGGTCCTGGGGGAGGTTCCTGGTGGGGCCTGGCCTTGGTCCTGCTGCTGGTGGGGACCAAGCACTGTACCCTGCCCTGGCAGAGGCAGGCTGGGGGCTTGGTCTCCTTCCCATGTCACACAGACTCAGGTTGATGCCTGATGTACCTTGTTGGGGTAAAAAAGGTGGTTTTTGGCCACCAGCCATGCAAGTGGGGCTCCTTCCCATGTCACACAGAGACTCAGGCTGACGCCTGATGTACCTTGTTGGGGTAAAAAAGGTGGTTTTTGGCCACCAGCCATGCAAGTGGCAGAGCCCAGAGCTGCTGCTCCTGGCCTGGGGTGGTGGCAGAGCCTGGGGACAATGCCTGGGGACAATCTGCAAAAGGAGGAGATGACCCTTAGGGAAGGGAGCTCCTGGTTCCAGTTGCTGCAGGCACCAAAGCTGCTTAAAATGCCCCTGTGATGGGCATATCACTGTGTAATTGACATAATACCTGTGGGATGAGCTTCCCCTTGGAACAGATCCCTGCTCATCATCCCTGCTCTGAGCCTCTGCCTCCCTCCTCCCACACCAGTGACTGTGAGACATGGCTGGTGGCTTTTGCCTGGCCCTTTCTGTGCTCTGCTGATTCCTGCAGCCAAGCAAGACACCAAGAAGCTGCCCTGGACTCAGAGCCAGTGTGGGGAGCAGCACCTTGACCCCACTGTCCCCATGCAGGGGGACATTTTCCCAGGATCCAAGCCCTTCCAAAGGAGCTGCTCTGCCTGTGCTGTGAGGGCTGGGACAGGCAGCACCTGGGAAGTGCCTCCTGGAGAAGGGGAGATGAAGCCTGGGATGTCTCCTGGTTCACAGATCAAGCCAAGTGTTTCCTCCATCTCTGCCTGACATCCCAAGCTGGCATCAGGACCTGAGTGCTGGAGGTTGATCTGCTGAGCCAAGGCCACCCAGCACGGCCATGACCAGACCAGGACCTTGCTGTGGAGCTGACACTGCAGGAAGGGGGTGTAGAACATGGAGATTAGGAGGCAGGCAATGGCAGGGCAGGGTGGCCTTGGGCAGGGTTGGCCAACATGTGCGTGCTGGGGGCCACTGTGCCTGCAGCTCTTTGATTGCAAGCCAGAGCTTGTGCAATCTGCCCCTCCACCCATAAAGCAGGTGGGACTTGGCCCCCTGTCCCTGCTCTTCGTTCCCTTGGCCTTGGTGGGAGCAGCCCAGGGCCCTGAGTGGGTCTCCTGGGAGATGGGGGGGATGTGATGGTATCAGGCAGGGCTGCCTTTCTCCCTATTTCTGCTCCTTTCCTGCTTCTTGGAACTTGTTCTGAAGTCCTGCAAGGGCAAGGCCCTGCACAATGGCTGGTGCAATTCGCAGCACAAATCCAGGTTGGGTGGAGACTGGAAGGAGAGCAGCCCTGAGGAGAAGGATTTGGGGGTGATGATGGATGAGCTCAGTATGAGATGGCACTGGAGCCCAGAAATTCAGTGTCACAGGCTGTGTCACCTGCAGGATGACAAGGAGAGCCAGGGAGGGGATTGTCCCCTCTGCTCTGCTGAGACCCCCCTGCAGGGCTGGGAACAGCTCTGGGGTCCCCAGCACAGGAAGGACGTTGAGCTGCTGGAGAGAGGCCAGAGGAGGCCCCGGAGATGC